GTTACTAAACATGATTTCCAAGAGCTGTTTTCTTGAGAGACCAAATCCTCCATTTTAAATATATTTATACTTGTAACTGAAAACTTCCCTTGTCCTGTGAAGAACACTTTTGCACAAGCATTAAGAGTAAGAACAGAATGCTTGAGGGGAAAATGTCAAGAAGTTCTGCCTGCTCAGAATTAAAACTTGATGTTTTTAAAATAGTAAGAGATTCAAAGGATGTTTGTTAGAGCAGCCTGTTAATAGAATTTGCATCTTTTGAGTCACAGCAGCAAGTGCTGTTCCTGTGTTTGCTCTTCTAATTGCTTTGCTAAAACACAGGCAGAATGCTGTGGTAGCAACTTCTAACTTCAGCTTTCTTTAATTTTTACAATGGATCTTTATACATTCTGCTCCATGACCTGACTGCCCAGCTGTATTAGAGCAGAAGACACTACCAACTTGACAGTCAGCAAATATATCACTTCTTGAGTCTTCTTGGGATGACTCTGCACCTTTCATTAGTATACTTAAAAGAAAATTGAGAGAGCAAGTCTGATTTTCTTGGGGTAAGCAGTCTACCATATATGCTAAGGTATATGTTCTAATGCTTACGCTCATGTTGAAATTAGTTGGGACTAGTAGTATAGGGAAGTCCATTTTACCTTATCGCAGTTTTATCACAAAGCCTTGTAATATCTTGTATTTCATCGTAGGAACTTGTGAAATAGTATAAAGTGACATGGATATTTTCATTCAGCAGTAAATCAGTCTTTCATTGCTATAATGCTGTTTACAAAAATTAAAAAGTGTGAACACACGTTTTAATCAAAATTTTTCATGATGCATTGTTTCACCAAGTGCTGTGTTTGATGTCATTAGACCAGAACTAATAGTCATTAGGATTACAGTGTGCATGTGCACATGGATCCGATTATACTGAACTGTGTTTCAGGCATGTCATGGTTTAAGTTTGATGAATTCTAATTTAAAAACCATAACTATGGTAACTTTTTCAATAATTCAAACTGAATAATATAATCTTTAATATATAAATACACAATGCAGTGGGAGAAAGAATAAATCAGTGAGGAGAATAGGAAAAAGATGACTAATTGTGTCATTCCCTAATGGAACTCTTCTGATTTCCAGAAACTTTTCTCCTGTCTTATATTATAGCTACCTAATTGTATTACTCTGCTGCCAAGGTGAAGTATTATGTATAGTAATTTATTTGAAGGATTATATTCTGTCAGGTCTTTTACATCTATATGACCAGAAATAGTATGTCTCTATGGAATTTCTAGCATCTTCTGGATTAACATGGAAAAAAAAAAATTCTGGCATACAAAAGCACTATTCTAATGTTGCCGTAACCAAAACAACAAAACACACAAGAGATGACATCTCTTCAAACCTGATAGTCACTTCTGAAAACTTGGGAGAAATTATTTTGTCGAGTTTCAATATAATAAGGTTGTGTTCTCTTCTGTTTGGTTTGAGAACGTGCACCCGTACTAGTTAGTTCAAGGGGAAAAACCATTTTCTTTCTTGAGAGAGCCTGTATCTGATTTTCAGAGTCTCTTGGAAATAATTAAATGGCCAGTGTTTGAAGCAGCTGAGCTCTTGAAAGTTTTTGAAAGTTAGTTTTATTGGCTAAAATAAGAATTCTTTCTTGAAAGTGAAGAACTTTCAAGAGAGAATCCTTATTTTAGCCTGTAAAGCTGCTTGTGTTTAATATTCTTTATTATCTGATGTTGACAATTAAACCTAACTAAAGCACAATTGGAATTTCCCTTTGACACCTGGTCGATGGGTTATCTTTGTTTAATTAGCTTCACCTGATATTATGATACCTTTATTTATAAGAAGAATTTTTCAGATGCGTATCTGTTGGTAGAACCTGTAGTCTTTTTTTGGCCTGAATCTCGTGGCTGGCATCAGGAAACACAGAATTTCCAAGCTCTTTCTAATTCTTAGAAGTTTCACACTTGCGTGGATGAAGAAGGGGGTCAGCCCAGACATCTTTCTTGCTCTTCTTCCTGAGCCAAAGAGTGTACCTGGCTGTATTTGCTATATCAAATGCTTCATTTTGCTATGCTGATACCTCATGGTCTTGTGCAGCTATCTTGACTGATACCTCTTCCAGAGAAGTAGAATAATTCTTGTTTCTCTATTTTAGTGTTTTGGGAAGGGCAAGTGATTCTTCCCCCCACCCTCGATACTTACCCAGTTTGCACAGGCAATACTGGCTCAATTATTTGCAGAATTTTAGACTCTATAGATCTTACAAGGCATATTTCATTTCAAATGAATATTGGGAATGTCAAACTCACTTCAGCTTTTCTGTGACCAAGCACATCACAAGTCTGCAGTCCTTACTAGGAAGCTTTGTCATGTACCTACATTTGGGCAAAAATCAGAGATGATGAGTCACAAACTTGAACTTACATTGGATTAACAGAAGAAATGGTGCCACTTGGAACTACCGGTGCACTTGGGATGATTATGGTTCTCCCTGACTGACGTTCCAGTTTAACAGACTTGTGGCATTTTCATGCTTTTTCATTAGTGCAGCCAAATATCCTTCAGGTAAACAAGACCTAAAAGCAATGCGGAACTAGCACTATCGCAGCAAATTTGAATGTAGTGATGAAGGCAGCTGTCAAAGACCGTTTCAGTTGGATGTCAGCAATACCCGTGTAGTCTTGGGGTAAGGTAGTAGTTGTGTCTTTGGGTCTGGTACTGGTTCTGACATGAACATACTTAAATGTTTCCTCATTGTAGAGATGCAAGGAATTTTTGAGGGTTGTTAAGAGGATGGAATGGAGCAAAGATTTTTGCAAAGAATCTTTTGCAAATATTCCAAAGCAAAAGTAGATTCCAGTATTGATACTGTGCTCCCTGTTTCACGAGGCAGTCTGATTGCAAGGGATAGCAGAACAAGTAATTGCTTCTTGGATCATCTGGCAGCTGACAGCCATACTATTCTGTGTTCCTAAACTTCCTCATAAAAAAATCTAACAAACGCTCTCATAAAAACTGAGTCTGATTCCAAAAGACATGTTGCTCATACAAGGCTTATGTTTTGTTTGAGTTTCAATAGGGCTGTGTGTATGCTATCCATTATTGGTAAGCCAGTTCACATACCAGGGAAAGAAGAAGAAAGAGAAGGGTTTTCGTCCAGTTGGGGTTTTGAGTTCAAATTAGTGCTTATACAAGATGTACAAAAATCTATTCCATAGTCATGAGTGCTGCTGCGTGTATTCTTCAGTACTTAGTATAGAATAAACATCGGCAAAGACTTGCCATGGTTAGGACATACACAGTGTGTCTTCTTACGTAGATTCTCTGACTAAAAAATTTTGAACCTCATGCCACAAG